GATCTGTCTGTCTTTGCATTGCCAGTCTTGATGGTTGGCCACTGTATTAAAGTTAGAGGTGGACATGAGCCGACAACAGCAACCAACAACAACAGCTTGCATCTGTATAGCGCCCTTCACATGGGGTAGCGTCCCGAAGCCAAAGTTTTAATGGGTGGCATTTACTAGATAAGAACTGTGAAACCTTGTATGTTATGTAGGAATTAAATTACATTTAATCACAAGAAATTTTCTCAGACAATAAAAGTTAAGACCAATTGTTGGCAACATAGTTTTCTTGTTTGAGACAGAAAAACAGGTCATTTGCCCGTTAATTCCTAAATTAGAGCTATTATAAACTTGGGATTGGTTTTGCTTGATTGAATTAATATTAAATTAAGTTCATGCTTTGTAGCAAATGTTAATGTTTAATGTAAAGAACTTAAATAATTAGTAAAGAATAAGAGTCCAGCAATATTCGTAACTTTATCCGTTTGCATTTTGCTAGAACGAGTTCTACTCATAAGAAACTGTCAAAGGAGCATCATTAAATGTCATCATTTAAAAATAAATACTTGCGATGGCTCAGAGAATGAAGTCTGTGTTGCAATAAGGAGTCAGGCACTTTTGGACAAGAGATTCAATACCTGTTAATCCTAGCTGAATATCCCAGTTGTGATGCTAGAAATAGCCTCACTATTGCTGGCCTAGAGTGGGGAAACAGTTAGCTAGGGTTCCTGCTCCTCGGCAAAATTACTGACTCGAGTAGGAAGGTTCTTATGGAGGTCAAGTGGGACGTGGCTCAGCTGAAATGATCCCACCGATATTTTGCTAACAAGCAAGCAGAAGAGTATTGGTGTTGAGAAATTCTACAATTTTGTAATTCTAAGATCACATATTAAGAATAGGCATTTAGTCAAGGTAATGGGCAGCTATTACTCATGGAATAGTACTCTGTCATGAGCCAACTGTTTTCAGCTGAGAAGACTAAAGAGGACATAAAACATCAAAGGTAGTGATATCCATTTTTGGGGACAATAACACCAACAACTTGCATTTATATTGTACCCTTCCAGTGGAGTTGTGTGTTGCAGCACTTAAAGAGAAGGGCAAGAGAGGAGAAGTGCAAGAGAGGAGTATGATTCTCCCATGAAAGTGATATAGTAAGTTGCTTTCATGTGTTAAAGATCCCACAACATTGTTCATAAAGAGAGGGAAGTTTACTCTAGCGTCCTAGTCAAATAATGCATAATGCCATTCATTCACTTCATGGAAACAAGAAAATAATTACTTCCCTCTTACACTTCACAGAGAATGTCAATTAATTGTTCTAAACAGAGGTGCAATTTACACTATATTAGCATACAGTCAGGATCTTCGGTAAATAATGAAGGCCAAAAAGGAGGAATAAATGACAAAATCACGGAGAGAATTCTGCTCACTTACACATTAGTAAAGTGTGGTAACTTAGCCTTTCCTATTTTTAATTTCCAGATTTTTGCCGACCAACTATAAACTTTGTCAATAGCAACAATTTGCATTTATATAGAGCCTTACACATTGGGAGGATATCCCAAGGTACTGCACCTGGGGTGTTTGCACCTGAGCTGGTGGGTTTAATCTGTCTTCTTGAGATGGACCTTGAAGGAGGGGAGGGAAAGGGAGAGGCGGAGAGACTCCAGATTGGAGTTTCCAGACTATGTGGGGCGTAAAGGCTAAAATCCCGATCGATGTGAGTGGACAGGGCGGGTGTTTAGAACAATTAATTACGTTTGCTGCAAAGTGTAAAAGGGAAGTAAGTATTTCCTTGCCTGCAGTACAAACTCGTGCCAGCAAAGCATTGCTTCACTCATCGCTGAGCATTTACAGATTGGTTCACATTCCAGATTTCTGAAGTTCCTATACAAAAAAATTGTTCTCTGTTTGTTGCGAAACATTACAGATTTGTTCGAACTGAAGAGAACAGTTTGAGACATTGACTTAAAAAGGACAATGGTGAGTGCCTTTCTTTTTCTTAAGCACTGTTTCATTTATGCACAACTGCAGCATTTATATAGCACGCTTTAATAACAATAATAATAATCCTTGCATTTGATATAGCGCTTTTCACATCAGGAGGACATCCTAAAGCGCTTCACAGAACACACTGTAAAGTGAATTGACTGCATATTTGTGGGCGAACGCGGCAGTCAATTGCGCACAGCAATGTCCCACAAACAGTCGTAGATTGAAAATGACCAATTCATTATTGTTTTTGGTTTTGGAGGGATTATTATTAGGCTCTGTGTGGAGTAAGGAAACTTGCCCAAGGTTTCGCCCTCTGCCTGGAATTGAACTCAGGTCTCTCGCTTGCAAAGCGAGTGCTCTAACCACTGAGCTACAGGACTTTGTGTGTGGTAGTGTCTCAATTCTCTTAAATGTATAATTATTTGGAAAAGTATTTCTCGATATTGCAACTCGGCTAACTTCCCGCTTCAATACTGTCCTCCTTACATCTTTTCTGTTTCTAATTGACTCAAATAATTAGCCGGAGGGAAGACCTCCTGCAGCTGTGGGATTTTAATGGTGAATTGTAAAACACAGTGGTGAGATCTACACATCTGCGCTATCTGTAATTATTTTAATACAAGCAAAATAATAGGCAAAGCAAACTTGCATCTAGTTGTATTTGTATCAATGTAGGGTATTCAGGGTAGTTTTCTGCTGTAGGCTGATACTTGCAGGGAATTGGGTTGAGATTGTGCAACCGTGTCTTTACTTAGGATCCTTATTACCAGAGGGAAGATAAGAGATCTTCATTGTATTAGTCTCTGTAATTCAAGTGGAATCTCAAGAGTTTTATCGGACAACGTTCACCCACTGTTTCGCTTATCTTCTTGTTCACATCTTTATGTGTAAGCTTTTAAAGCATGGGGAGTGACTGTTTTTCTCATGTTAGAATAACCAAGTAAATTGAGGCTATTTGCACACATTTCTTATAGTCCCCTTCGACCACATCACAAAATCAATGTTATATTTCTAGAATATAACCTTTTAAATATTACAGCGAAATCGGATATTTGCTTGGATGGGAAACTTCAATGACTACATCCATTTATTGTCCTATTTTTTTCCAAACACTTCAGAATGATAGCATTTCCCCTCAGCATTTCCATGCCACCTACAGGTAGTGAAGTACAATGAATGGTGTTAAACTAGTCACAGTAGACAATTGATGGCCATCACGTAGCACCTTAACAAGTAGAAATAAGACTGGCACTAAAACCCAACTGACTTGTGCTTTGGGAAAATTTTGGAGCCAAGAATAAGATGAGTGCAGAAATCCATCAACAACAACAAATTACATTTATATAGCGCCTTTCACGACAGGAGGACATCCCAAGGCGCTGCACAGTCAGGGATCCGCACCCGAGCCGGTGGTTGGATCAGGAAGGGTGGAGGACGGGGAGGGTAAGGGTTGGAAGGTGACCGAAAGCACAGTCAAAGAGGAGGGTCTTGAGACGGGGCTTGAAGAAGGTGAGGGAGGCGACGAGGCAGAGGGACTGTGGAATGGAGTTCCAGAGGGTAGCAGCAAAGAGACTGAAGGCCCACCTGCCAATAGTGGGGCGGGCAAGGCGGGGGACATGAAGCAGGCCGGAGCCCGCTGAGCAGAGAGAGCGGGCAGGTTGGTAGGGGTTTAGAAGGTCACAGAAGTAGGCAGGCGCAAGGCCATCACCATCTTTAACAGGAACGAAACCAGATAGATTTCCACAAATGTATGCTGCCTACACACCCTCCTATCCAGGTTAGTTCATTTATCCCAGAATATTAAAGAAGTGCTCTGAAACCATGAGGTTAGCTTTAAGTCGGATACATTCCTACCTGTTTATGTCGACATCGTGGGGACCGAAAGGATTTTGTCGACATAAGTGGGTTTCAAGATAAACCGATGAATGAATTACGCACGCGTATTCATTGTGGTTAAAGCATTTATTGACTGGAATGAAACGGAACGTAGATTTCAAAACGCGAGAGGATAGATTAGAAGCAGTTACATGCATTTCAAATAAAATCCTGCAATTAGAAGTAGTTATTCACATATATTCCACATAAAATACTGTATTTAGAATTGCTGTACTATTTAAGAGTATACTATCTCACACATGACACATTTCAACCAACCACGTAGGGTGTTGTGCTTCACGGTGTAAGTTTCACAGATGTAGTTTCTGGACTTTCCACTCTCACTTGCTCTAACTTTATCTTTTAGCATTTTTAAATTAAGCATCGGTTTCATTTCAGTTGCGGTAACCGTCTTGGTTCGGCCGTATATACTCGCATCATGAATATTTTATAGGCCTAACACACCCACATGTCGCACATGCTCATGTGTCACATGAACTCACAAGCATCACTTACTCGATCACTCACAGCTACTTTATAGGCCTAACACGCCCACGTGTCAACGCGCTCACGTGCAATTTCTCACGCATGCACGAACCACACTCACCCAATTCAATCGCTCACTCACTCACGTATCACGTGTGACGTTCGGGGCCTGCAGTCATAAGCGGTAAAAACATAATGTACTTAATGCTGTTGGGGTCTTGAACAATTTGTCAACATAAGCATCCAGAAATTTATGTCGCCGTCATCATAACTGGTAAGTTTAATATGCTCCTATATGGGGAAGGGCCCGGGACTTCAATTTTATTGTTGGCATATGTGGGATGTCGGTATAAATGGGTTTTTTAGATAAGTGGGTAGCACTGTAGTGTGTGTGTATAATATTTGTTCGATAAAATGCGGAGGAAAGAAATGCATCCTTTTGTAAAGTACGTGAAAGTTGTCTCATCGTGTTTAATCGTAGAAAATGATTCATAGCCTCCAGTTCTTCTAAACTGATTTTACATTATTCATAATATTAATAACAGTAATCCTTGCATTTGATATAGCGTCTCATCACGTCGTTGAGACGTCTCAAAGCGCTTCACAGAATACACTGTAAAGTGTGTTGACTGTGTGTTTTGCCTCCCTTTCAGGCTAAGAGAAGATCAGCTCCATCACAGACTACGTTTTACTTCCTCCTTTTGCTCAATTTTGCTTTGACATTGTTTCCACCCAGCTCGCTTCCCAGAAGCCTTCCATGTGATGCCCTGAACAATTCTATCATTCAGCTAGACTGCAGTAACCGTCAACTTAAACAGGTGCCAAAAAACATTCCTTCCAAAACTATCAGTCTAAATCTAGCTGGCAATCGGATCACAAGCATTTCCAATGGCTCTTTCTCCAGTTTACAAAGCATCATTGTAATAAACCTAAGCAGCAACTGTTTATCCAACAAGGCTAAAGAACGGCAAGCGAGGTGTGATAGCGGTATGAAAATTGCAGTAGGTGCATTCTTTTCTCTGACCAAGCTGCAAGAATTGTACCTGAATGAAAACACACTCTGCACAGTACCAAAGAAACTGCCTACTGGCTTAAAGGTTCTGGGTCTAAATGGTAACCATATTTTGTCTATAACGAAAGAAAATCTTCACAGTCTGACAAATCTGGAAAAATTGTTTATGAATCAAAACTGTTATTATCTCAATCCCTGCTGGTCTTCTATATCTTTAGAGAGAGGAACTTTTTCAAGTGTCAATAAACTGGAGGTTCTCAAACTTGGCGAAAACAACTTAACGTCTATTCCTCAGAATCTGCCAAGATCACTGAAGTCACTATACCTCCATGGGAACAGGATTCAAACCATACACCGAGGTGAGTTTGGTGAGCTGGTACACTTGGAAACCCTTGACTTAAATGGAAACTGCCCGAGATGTTACAATGCTGAATACCCTTGCAAACCTTGTCCCGGAGATGGCTCCATACAAATAAATTCCTATGCTTTTGAACAGCTTCGAAAGATAAGTAAACTCAACCTTTCTAACAACTCCATTAACCGAATACACAGTAGCTGGTTTCAAAACATGACCAATTTGAAAGTTCTGCATCTTGTTCGAAATTTCTTGTTGCTTGATATTGCTTCTGGGGACTTTTTAAATTATTTACCTAGACTAGAGGTGCTAGATTTATCGTACAATTATCAACTGAAAGCTTATGAGAAATATCTCAATCTTTCAAGAAATTTTTCCAAACTAGTTTCTCTCAAAAAATTGTACATCAAAGGATATGTTTTTAAAGATCTTACCCGAGAGGATCTCAAACCTCTGTTCAGCCTACAAAATCTCACTCAACTGAACCTTGGCACAAACTTCATTAAACAGGTAAATCTAACGATTTTTGAAGCTATCAAATCATTACAAGTAATAGGCCTGTCAGAGAATAGGATATCACCTCCCTCCACTGACGATGACCTTTCTTTTGGTTCTGCCTGCCGAGATAATCATTTTGCCTTGACGAATTCAGAATTAAGAGATACACGTTTGCTACTTGAACACAGCAGCAATGACTACCGGTCTTCGGAAGATCAGGACCATGTCGGAGAGATACAGAAGTGGACGTGCGCTTCCTATGGTAAAATCCTGGACTTGAGTCGAAACAGTATTTTCTTCATCAAACCAGAGCAGTTTGTGGGCTTGGAAGACATTGCGTGCCTGAATTTGTCCGCAAACGTGATGGGTCAGGCTTTGAATGGCACCGAGTTCACCCCCTTACGCAATCTAAAATATTTAGATATGTCTTATAACCGCATTGACCTAGCTTATCATAACGCCTTTAGAGAACTGGAGAAGCTCGAGGTGCTGGATTTAAGTAACAACAAACACTATTTTCTCGTTGAAGCCGTTACACACAAAATGGGCTTTCTTGAAAACCTTAAATATTTAAAAGTCCTCAAGTTAAGTTGGAATCGCATTTTCACCTTGACGGGGCTAATCCTGAAAAGTAACTCCTTGCAGCACTTGGAATTTCAAGGGAATCGGTTGGACATTTTGTGGAAAGATGAAGACAAAAGATATATTCACTTGTTTCAAAATTTAACTAATTTAACATTGCTCAACTTATCAGAAAATAAACTTAAAAGTATCCCATCCGAAGCATATGAAAATCTACCAAAGAATTTATCTTTTTTGTCTTTTTCGTACAACAGTTTAGAGACATTTGAATGGCAAAAACTACAAATGTTTAAGAATCTCCGCATTCTCGACCTCAGTTATAATAAACTAACCACAGCTCCTCGCAAGCTAAATAATTGTACCAAATCCCTGGAACGTCTGCTACTAAGCCATAATAGCATCTCACAACTTCCTGAAAAGTTTCTTCCATTTGGGATGTCCTTGAAATATCTTGATTTAAGCTATAACAAAATTAAAATGTTAAACCAATCAATTTTCCCAGTGGATGGATCCATTTCCCTGAAGGTGCTAGATTTAATAGGGAATCCATTTCATTGCAGTTGCGATATTGTACCATTCATTGTATGGATTAATTCCTGTAAGGTGATTATCCCTCGATTGGCTACTGATGTTACATGTGATTCACCCGAAGATCAGAAAGGACAGAGCATTATTTTTGTTGATCAGCACGCGTGCGCAAACAATGACATTGCGACTTTATTAAATATTGTTACTACTTTCATCATTATTTGTACAATGGTCATAGCAACTACCCACCATCTCTTTTACTGGGACGTGTGGTATTTGTACTATTTCTGCACTGCAAAGCTGAAGGGATATCGAGCACTTTCCACAGATGACTACTTCTATGATGCGTTCATAGCTTATGACCCTTCGGATCTGGCTGTGACAGACTGGGTGGTAAATGAACTTCGTGTTCATCTAGAAGAGAAAGGAGAAAGAAGCTTCTCCCTCTGTTTGCAGGAGAGAGACTGGGAGCTAGGCCTGCCTATTGTTGACAATCTTTCTCAGAGTATACATAAGAGCAAAAAGACTGTGTTTGTGCTCACAGACAACTACGCCAAGAGTGGAAATTTCAAAACAGCCTTTTACATGGCTCACCAGAGACTCATGGATCAAAATCAAGATGTGGTTGTTTTAGTACTGCTGGAGTCCGTTTTAACAAACTCCAAATATCTGAGACTGAGGAAGAGATTATGTAAGAATTCTGTGCTATATTGGCCTCAAAATCCAAAAGCTGAGGATTTCTTCTGGCAGTGTTTGAGAAATGCGCTTGCAACTGATAATTATGGAAGATACAACACGATTATGGAATCCACTTAGCTAACATCAAAACCTCTTTGACTTTTAAGATTGTATATGTTCGGTAACTACGGACCACCCAAGCAAGACAGATTTTGACGTCCACCTAAAAGTGTAAGAGGACTTTGAATATAGTGGAAGATGCTATATAAATGTAAATATGTACATTTGTATTGTGTTGTACATGTCAAGCTGCACAGAATATTGACCCCTGGAAGTGGATCACTCACCTTGTTGAAGGATCTACATGGGTGCAAGTTCTGACCAATCTTTTTCTCTCCCCAGTTATCAGCAACTGCATCTCAGATCATCGGTGAATAGTATTGTTAATGTTAAAGATGTAAAAACCTCACAAGAGGTTGCATGAGAGATTTGGTTGACGAAGGTCCTTCAGCCCATTTGGTCCCATCCTGACAAAATACCCATCCCGTCTTTCCTATCGTCTTCCAATTACGGAATCTAGCTGTTTCTCAAATGAGTCCCAACATCCTGGTCTTATCTACTCTTCCTCTAACCAATTCTAGTTGTTAATATCTTCCCTGTCGTCAATCCTGAAATTGTTCCTTGCAAGCCCAAACCTGTAACCACTTTTTCTGCTGCCTTGCTGTAGGTAAAAAGGATTCTTCTGGCTGTACTTTCTCAATCCAATTTGTACAAAGATTTATTCTCTGAACTAAAGATCTTTTGGAAAATGAACATTTAAAGTCCATGATTGCAATCCAAGTTGTGTATTTAAACTATTGCAGTGGGTGGAATTAAAATCACTGAATGAATTTTGAGTTTGTATTAGTTTTCTACGAGAATCAAGCATTTCTTTTCAGAGTAATCTATCTCCAATATTGGTAACCATCACCCTCTACCTTCCACCACCCTCTTCCCCACACCTACCACCACTCTCTCAAAAGGTACTGGCTGGCACTTGAGACATTTAATACAGAGGCCATAAAAACAACTCAAAGCTAACTTCAAAGGTGGTTTTGAGATGTGATCACCTGCCAGCAGTAGTGTGGACCTCAAACATTCTTGTCTTTCAACTCAATGATGACCTTGTTCAGACACTCAGGTTTTGTATAGTATCAATGGTCTTTCTTACGGCCACCTGAAAACCGGCAGCACGAACCTTGGTTTAATGTCTCATGCGATAGCCAGTACATCTAACAATCCCCAGATGTTAACTGTCACAGAACCTAGCTCCAAATGCCAGTTATCTACGTTTCATGAAAACACTGATTGATTTCTGGATCACAACAAATACAATCTATCAGTTCTCAGATTCAGCACTAGAGGGCGCTCCTGTTGCAGCATTGCAGCATTGTGTTTAATGTCTCTTAGTCAGACCATTATTGTGCGTGCATTGCTATAATAATATTAAATAATTCTTGCATTTGATATATCGCCCTATCCCGTCTTTGAGGCGTCTCAAAGCGCTTCACAGAATATACTGTAAAGTGAATTGACTGTATATTTTGTGGGCGAAATGCGGCAGCCAATTGTGTACAGCAGTGTCCCACGAACAGTCCTGGATTGAGTGACCAATTTATTCTTATTCTTATTATTTTGAAGGAATTAATCCCCCCGGAAAAGCAATTTCCCCAATCGACTGACAACCAGATTCCTACTTACTGCTAGGTAAACAGTGACATGTGGGGTAGGGAAACTTGCCCAACGTTTTGCCTTGCCAGGTATCGAACCCAGGTCTCTCGCTTGTGAGGCGAGTGCTCTAATCACTGAGCTACAGGACTCCACAATGGGGGAGGAGGGGGGTGTTAAATCTTAGGTTGTCATTTATTAATCATGTAATTACATTGTAGTTAGTCTATGATTAATGAACAGTTCACCCACAAAAGTACTCAGTCAATGCACTTTACACTTTACATCCCGTGAAGCACTTTGGGATATCCTCCCAATGTGAAACGCACTATAGCAAATGTAAAGATTATTATTATTAAACAGTTAACTTTGAAGAACATCTATTTCTCAAAAGGCTGGCCAATAGATAAAATAATGAAATGGGGTGTTGGGGGGTGGGTGGGGGGCGGAGGGAGTAAATGGGATTACATAGAATTACATAAGAATGTTTACAGCACTAAAACGCGCCATTCAGCTCAATTTATGAGTTCAGTCAATCACTCTTAGAATTACTGGGGTGAAATTTGTGAAGCTCTTTTTAATTGTTTTGGGGGGGATTGATGACCCTTAATAATGATCTAAGATTTAATTACAGCATCACGATGGGAGGGCATCTCAAAGCGCATCACAAGATTTAGTGTAAAGTGCAGCGACTGTGGATTTTGTAGGCGGCAACAGCAGTCAATTTGCACAAACAAAATCCCACAAAGAGCCATGTTGGGACTTTCCGATTGTATTCTCGGTTGACGCTCCAAAACAGTGCTGGAGCGGTGCCTCATTGTCGGAAGTGCCGCCCATCAGATGAGATGTTAAACCAAGGTCTTGTCTGCCTGATCATGGCACTTTTGAAAAGAGAATTTTTTCTGGTGTCCTCCAAATGCAGAGTCACTAGAGTATACTTCACAGTAAAACTCATCGGAAGCACTTTGTGATAAGATGCCGAATCAAATGCAAGGATTATTAATATTACAATATCTGTGGAAGACCAACTTCCAATGAAAACCGATTTTAAGAATTACCAAAATTCTGCACAAGCAAATATTAAGACAATACATTTAAGGCCAAGGCCATGAGACATTGCAGACACCTGTGGCCAGGATGAATCCACAGTGAAATACCAATAAACATGATGTAATGTCGAGTACTTTATTAAAGTGAACTTTGATTTCAAAGATGATCAATAATTAATCTCATCAAGCGATAAGCAACAGTTGATCATCAGAAAATAACAACACAATTTATATATAGACAATGGGAATGATTAAAGGGCAGCAATCTGACTGGCAAGTTTGGATCATGTCACACACCCAAAGAGAATGCTTGAACAGTCGACGTCCGTTGTCTCATTTGTCTCCCCAGGTGAAAACATCTTCTTGAAATCATTTGCACAGATCTCTTATAATCCTATTATTTTCCCTTGGTAAGTAAATGTATTGAGATTGGCAGTGTGTGCTTACAAAGGTACCTTCCCATGCTGCACACAAGTCAAGATCGGTAAATTTGCTGGCATTAAACCGAAGTTCCGTTCGTCAGTTCAAACGACACTATTCGTAAAGAAAGAAGAGTTTCCCAGTGCGTGGCCAAAAGTTCACCGGCTAACTTAATCATTCATTTTATTCAGTATTGTGTGGGAGCTTGCTGTGTATAACCTGGCTGCCGAGGTTGTCAATGAATACAAAATCGCTAAGTTTACTTACGGAGCACTATGAGACATTTCTTCCAAATAACTCCTTCGAAATACATTTAAAATAATTTGGTCATTCAATCCACGGCGGCTTTTGGGATACTGATGTGCGCAATTGGCTGCAACGTTTCGCCCACAAAATTTACTTTACAGAATGCATTCTGTGAAGCGCTTTGAGATATCTCAAAGACGTGATAAGGTGCTATATCAAATGCAAGGATTATTATTATATATTATTATTATTTCAACGATAAAAGAATGGTAAGAAAAGTAAGGGTGATCAGAAATGAACCACAGAGTAGTTTGCTGACAAACCACGCCCTCTCCTAAAATGAAGCCAAAGCAACACATCTCAATGTGCCTTCCACTTAAGAACTACAAACAGTAAGAACTGCAAACAGGTTTGCTTGCAAAATACACAGTCACTACACTTTACAGAAAATCCTATGAAACGTTTCAGACATCCTCCCGACATGACCAGTGTTTTAACAAATGCTAAAAAAAATTATTATTATTAGGACAAGTCTTCCTCTCAACTGGTATAATGGAGACATTTTGAGATTATAGTCAAAGAGTATGTAATCTAATCTGATTTTTTTCTTATTGTGACAAACTCTACTTTTATTCCCAGTTCAGGCCTTAACCTACAAAGATTGATGCAGATCTTCCAACACTATTTCTCTGTATTTTTTCAGATGATAGCTTAATTGTTTTTACAGACACAGTTCATGAAGTGGTCTATTTGATTGGTTCGGAGGAATGGGGGAGCGAATCGTGAAGTGAAGATATAGGAGAAGGTACGATTTGCTTGAATAAAACTTAAATATTATAAATGTTTCTTTTTTTTCCATTTTGAAAACTCATAAGAAAATCCAAACCTTTCCCAACATGTTGAGTTTGTTCACTTCAGCCGTCTCCTTCATGTAGTTTTATATACACTGGTTTTATATACAGTAAAATTTGTATAGGTCTGATCTGTATAAATAATATAATAGCCTAAGTCGTACATCTGCCCATTCAAGAGTTTATATTCTACGCACATTTGACATAACTTATACTTTGCATAAGTCGCATTAAATGCATGGTCCCAACTGATACGATTTATGTGAGGTTTACTGTATTTTTAACTTCTTGGTAATGTATGTTTGGTTGTTCTGGTCTAATTGACCACCCCCATCTTACACAGATGCTCTTCCACTCCAACCATTTGAGTGCTGCTGAAAGGTCCCACCCGACATGTTAAGTAGTTTTTTTTGTTTTAGCTGCTGGGTAGTTGCAGTGTTTTTGCTGACCTGAAAATCCAAGGCTGCAGGAACAGACTGCTTTGACTTAAACACCGAATCTCCAAATAAAAACAAAATTGGTATATCTAGAGTGATTGCCAATACTGTGTTGCGTTTTCAGAGGAGAACCCTGGTGAACCCTCCGGAAACTGTTCCAAGTCCCTGTTCGAGATCTGTGCACCTGATCCATCATTCCCTATTTTAAGTGGGTTCAGGGAACGTGTGTATTCACATCTTTGTCTGAAATGTGTGTTACATAGTACGGAGCTGGAGTGCCAGACCCGAGTAAAACGTTGTGGGTTGAAATGCTCCTCTCTTTCTCTCTCTCTCTCTCTCCCTCCCTCTCTCCTCTTCCCTCCCTCTCTCTCCTGATTTTGATGTGAACAGTTGCGATCGGTTACTGCAAGCCAAAGCTGCAATATGCTGTCCACTGACAAACGGATCAACAACGACTTGGATTTATAAATCATTACAGCTGCAAAGAGCTGCAAGAAATCACACCCGCCCAGGAAAGCTGGAGAACTTCACGTGGAAGAGAACAAAACACCGCCTCGGAAGTCTGTCCCATCGCCGGCCCCAGTAAAGCAATAATAATCCTTGCATTTGATATAGCGCTTTTCACGTCTTCTCGTACTGTCCTTCTCGCTTGATGTCGCTGTTGGTTCAAAAAACAGTTACCACCAGTTAGTGACCACCAACAGCTAGGGCTGTGTGCGTGTGTGTGTGTGTTTATATATATATATAATATATATAAAAAAGAGGAAATTCTCGTTAAGAAATGGCTGCGACTCAGATCAGAGCCTCCGAAAGAGTTCCCTCTTGCAGACCCTCTGGTGCTGGGGAACTGCTGAGAGTGAGTGAGTGAGAGTGAGTGAGTGAGGAGCTGTCCTGAGCCACATGTTGCTTGTTGGCTCTGGGGTGGAGGGGGGGGGGTTGTGGACTCTGTGTGTGTGGGGGGGGTATGTGGACTCTGTGTGTGTGTGTGAGGGGGGGGGGATGTGGACTCTGTGTGTGTGTGTGTGTGGGGGGGGGGTAGACTCTGTGTGTGTGTGAGGGGGCGGTGTGGACTCTGTGTGTGTGTGAGGGGGGTAGACTCTGTGTGTGTGTGAGGGGGCGGTGTGGACTCTGTGTGTGTGTGTGTGTGGGGGGGGGGTAGACTCTGTGTGTGTGTGAGGGGGCGGTGTGGACTCTGTGTGTGTGTGTGTGTGGGGGGGGGGGGTAGACTCTGTGTGTGTGTGAGGGGCGGTGTGGACTCTGTGTGTGTGTGTGTGTGGGGGGGGGGGTAGACTCTGTGTGTGTGTGAGGGGGCGGTGTGGACTCTGTGTGTGTGTGTGTGGGGGGGGGGGGTAGACTCTGTGTGTGTGTGAGGGGGCGGTGTGGACTCTGTGTGTGTGTGTGTGTGAGGGGGGGTGGACTGTGTGGTGTGTGAGGGGGGGGTGGACTGTGTGAGGGGGGGTGTGGACTCTGTGTGTGTGTGGTGTGTGTGTGAGGGGGGGTGTGGACTGTGTGAGGGGGGGTGGGGTGTGAGGGGGGGGGGGGGTGGACTGTGTGAGGGGGGGTGTTGGGGGTGAGGGGGGTGTGGGGGGTGGACTGTGTGAGGGGGGTGTGGGGGGTGTGGACTGTGTGAGGGGGGGTGTTGGGGTGTGAGGGGGTGTGGACTGTGTGAGGGGGTGTGTGGGGGGTGTGGACTGTGTGAGGGGGGGTGTGGACTGTGTGAGGGGGGTGTGGGGGTGGTGGACTGTGTGAGGGGGGTGTGGGGGGTGTGGACTGTGTGAGGGGGGTGTGGGGGGGTGTGGACTGTGTGAGGGGGGTGTTGGGGTGTGGGGGGGGTGTGGACTGTGTGAGGGGGGTGTTGGGGTGTGGGGGGTGTGGACTGTGTGAGGGGGGGTGTGGGGGTGTGGGGGGTGTGGACTGTGTGAGGGGGGGTGTGGACTGTGTGAGGGGGGGTGTTGGGGTGTGGGGGTGTGAGACAGTGACGTGTCCACCATTTGCATACATCGGAGTATAACCACTCGCCCTCAGACTCCGCCGCTCAGTCCGGAGCCGCTTTTTTTTGTAGTTCGAAGTTAAAACGGTGAGTAAAGAGACCGCGGGTTACATTAATCTGCATCGACTTTTGCTTTCTCATCTGAGCTTTTTTTCCCTCTCTCTGTGTGTCTCTCTTTTGCATCGTTACAGAGGCGATCCGAGCATTAGAGCGAACCACCGGCGGTGCATTTTGCAGAGGTTTCGTTGCAAACTTCTTGGTCGGGAATGACTTGAGAAGCGCTCACTTTTTTTTTGTGTGTGTGTGTCGCGCAGTTCATTTTTTTTTCCCCCCGTTTACGAAATCTCTTTTTTTTTTCTTCCCCACCGCTTCCTCATTGACGATCTGCGTCAAAAACCCGAGTTTTATTTCCTTCTGATCGGTTGCAAACGAATGCATTATTGTTGCCCGAACCCCGTTGGGGGGATTTTTTTAATTTATATATATATTTATATATATATATATAACTATTTATCAGCTGCAGAAAAATATTTGGGTTCAAACGCTTCGGGTTTCGTCGATTTTGATCTCTTTATCCCTAAAGAAATTGCGAAGCTGAGCCACAGCTGAGCGGGGATTCGAGGCTCTTTGTCACGGAATGAATGCGCGACTTCCATCTGCATGTGAATGGGGGAGAAAAAAGGGGTGTGGGGGGGGGGGTGTAGGTGGGTTGGGGTGGGGGGGGTGAGTGTGTAGGTGGGTTGGGGGGGGTGCGGGTGGGGGGGAGTGTAGGTGGGTTGGGGGGGTGTGAGTGTGTGGGGTGGGTGGGTGGGGGGGGGGGTGTGTCGGTGGGGTGGGGGGGTGTGTGTGTAGGTGGGTTGGGATGTGGGGTGTGTGTGTGTGTGTAGGTGGGGGTGGGGGGGGATGTGAGTGTGTAGGTGGGTGTGTGTGTGTGTGTAGGTGGGGTGGGGGGGATGTGAGTGTGTAGGTGGGGGGTGTGTGTGAGTGTGTAGGTGGGGGTGTGTGTGTAGGTGGGGTGGGGGGGATGTGAGTGTGTAGGTGGGGGTGTGTGTGAGTGTGTAGGTGGGGGTGTGTGTAGGTGGGGTGGGGGGGTGTGTGTGTAGGTGGGGTGGGGGGGATGTGAGTGTGTAGGTGGGGGTGTGTGTAGGTGGGGTGGGGGGGTGTGTGTGTAGGTGGGGGGGGGATGTGAGTGTGTAGGTGGGGGTGTGTGTGTGTGTGTAGGTGGGGTGTGTGTGTGTGTGTAGGTGGGTGGTGGGGGGGGTGTTGGTGGTTGGGGTAGGGGGTGGGGGTGTGTGTGTGTGGGTGGGGGGGATGTGAGTGTGTAGGTGGGGGTGTGTGTGTGTGTGTAGGTGGGGTGGTGGGGGGGGTGTTGGTGGGTAGGGGTAGGGGGTGTGGGGTGTGTGTGTGTAGGTGGGTTGGGATGTGGGGTGTGTGTGTGTGTGTAGGTGGGGGGGGGGTGTTGGTGGCTGTGTGTGGGTGAGGGGTGAATCCCGGTTGAGCAAAGGATCTGGAGGAAGTCCTTGGGTTTTATCAGCGGTTAGTAATTGAAGCGCAGCCCCTGTGCCACTCTGCAAAGAAAAAATCCTCCACCGTCCCCGGCACCGTGAGCAGAGCAGAGCTGAGCCTCCAACTGACCTCTTGTGCTATTCCAACGGGGTATCTTTTATCTGCACAATATCCCTCACTTTTTGTGTGTGGCTTTTTTTATTATTGCTGCACAGAAAGTGGGCCGTTTGGCTCGACTTTGGGTCGGAGAATCCGGTTGGGACGGAACCGATTCGTTTTCTGCAAAGCGTTTTCTTTTTCGAGAATAATAAATATTTTTCCCCCTTTCCCCCACAAAAAAAAAATCCCATTTAAATTATGCTTTGCAGTGGGTGGGAGTGGGGGGAACGTGTGTGACCTTTCGTGCATTAAATATAGCAGTTGCTTTGTGTGTGTGTGTGTGTGGGGGGGTTTTTTTTTTGGTGCAATGCTCTGCATCTGCAGATTTTTTTTTCTTGGGGGGGGGGGAAAAAAAAATTCGAGTCGGCGATGGAAGTGCCGATTGCATTGAAGCTGAGGGGCGGATGCAATAAGTTTTATTTCTGTGCTGTGATGCAGATCGCCCACTGAGAAGATGTCTGACGCTGAGAAGCCCAAAGCCAACATGGATGAGGTACTCTCATTCGATAAGGGGCAGCTGAAGAATGCAGAAACGAAAGACTCGATCAGAGTGCCCACCGCTGAAGGTAAGGGGGTGGGGGGGGTCACAGCAATTTTAAACACTCTGTGCATTATTTTAGGGGTGTGGTTTTTTTTTGCCCCTTTGCATAACACGTGAGCCGATTAGAATCGGTTTCGTTGCGACTTTGCAATGGGGTGGGGTGGATGGGTGGAGGGGGTGGGTGTGAAATTTGCATCGTTTCTTGCGTTAAGTATTAGCAGTTGAGTGTTTCAAACGCCAGCAGTTCATTCCTTGTTCTGCATTGGTGTTCAACCGCCAACTTGATCCGCCTTAACGCCGAACCAAAAGTGTAACAGGGTCTCTCTGACTGCACTCAGCTGTGGACCATTGAGAATCTCCTCCTGGGCTCCTCTGCTCTGGTGAGGGCTGCCTCCAGAACTTTTTTTCTAAAGAAAGTTTAAAGAGGGGGTGAAAGTCATAATGTTCCTTTAGCCCTTTTGTGTGTTGAATTGTTCTCGGCTATCGGAGTCGATATGGGGGAATTCATTGCATTTAGTGGGGTAGGAGCTGTGGTGTGGACCAGAAGCTCTTGTTGACCCCCCCCCCCCAAAAAAAACACACCCAATAGGTGTTTAAGAAGAAAAAAGGAAACCTTGCTGTAATGCGTTCAGCTGGGTCCAACGTCTCGCTAAGGAGGCACAGAAAAATGTCCTATTTCCAGGTTGCCAAGTCAGTACCGATGCCACGTCCTGCTCGCTGTGCTCAGGATGTACCATCAACATCATCACTTCCTGAGTGCTGGGCATGTGCTCTGTAAAGAAAGCGTTAATAATGTCACTTCCTGTACATGTCTGGCACAAAGTGACATGCGCTTGACTTGGTGCACATGCATGTAATGCACAGGAAGTCATCGTTACCATATTTTAGCAGTGGAAGTGATGTGTGGTCATGACTATTTTAGTACAGGAAGTGAGGTGTACTGTGCTCTGATGACCATATTTTAGCATGGGAGGCTAGCTAGTCAGTGCCAGAAGCTGGGTGGTTAGTTTGGGTCCACAGAAGACCTGTGCTATACACAAGTCAGCACCTTACCCAAGGGTTTCGCTTCAGCAAGGCTTACTGAACAGTTGCAAGAGTTGGGCTGTTCTAATTATCTCCCAGGCTAGTTGGGACAACAGTTTTACTTCTGGTGGACTCTGATGAACTTACTCCAGATGTTACCAGAGTAGCAAGACTCTGGTCTTAGGGTCTATATTAATATCAATGTTCCTTCATGCAGGAAAACTACTTTTCTAATGTTAATATAAGAATAGCTTGACTAGACATTTTCACCTTTAATGGACTGTTATCTAGTTTGGGATTTTTAACATGAATATTTTATAATACTTTGGTGGTGGTGTAACATACTGTAACTTTTAAATCCATGTAATTTTGAGATTTATTTTTCCCTGTTGGAAATGTAGAAACTTCCAATCTTTTAAATTTATTTTCCTTTTTCTCTCCCCTCCCGATATTTTAGAAATCAAAGAGGAAAAGAAAGCTTTGGAGGAAGAAGCTAAAAAATGAAACTTCTTCAGTTTGCACTCTACATTCCACATCATGTTCTATTCCATTTTTATCAGCTGTATATCTTTGTAAAAAAATAATAATCTGGATGCAGTGTGAAGAGCTGAAGAGTGGTTCCAATCTCACCTGAATTCCATGAAATGACAACAGATAAGGCTACAGATGAAGCTTCAGCTAAATGAGTGTTGTCCATCTATCTATGGCTTTGATCCTAGCAGCACTTGACAGCTTGCATGTCAAAGAAGAAGCCAGACAAGACTACAGGAATCCTTTGAAAAACCAAACTCTTATGAATGATACAAAGATGTACAGAGATCCTGTGTCCACTTAAATCAAATGTATAGAGTGCATCTTGCTATACTTGTGCCTCTTGGTATGCAAATTGTTTTTGATATGCAAATAAAAATGATTTGAAAAATCTTAACTGATGCACAATGTTTTTTTTCCAATTGATTTCTTGGTTTTCATTTCCCTGCAATGGGTCAGTCTGGACGACAGTTGTGTGGGCTCCAACTGCATTTGTTTTTTTATTTTTTAGCGACGAGTGAGGTTAGACCCCATTAACTGAATTAGACCAAAACTGTCCACTTTGGGAACAAGGGGTATGTCCCCGCAGACAAACCCAACCCTTCTAAATTGTCCCAAGGACAATGCGGACCTGAACTGTGTCTTCACGACCTCCTGAGCAAGTCAGGTGATGACTGGATCACCTTGCCGGCAGGGCAGGCCCTGCTTGAGCCGAGTGACCAACTGCTCGAGGTAGCTCCGAGTTCCAAGTATTCTCTGCTTCCTCTTCGGGAGAGCAGATGAAACTTCTTAAAGTGTAACTACTGCAATAGCCATCCCAAGCAACATAGGGCTGAAAGCATAGCTGTAGCTGGGAGGTTATATCCTTCTCTTCAACTGTGCCTTCAGCTCCCCTCTCGACTCTCTACTCGCTCCCTCCCCTCACCATTTCCCCCCTCCTCGGGTCCCGACCCAACTGTCCAGCACCTTGGGACATCCTCCTGACATGAAAGGCGCTCTATAAATGCAATCTTGTTCTCATGCATCAGTTATGAGAGATTTGGTTCGGAAACCTCAGCAGGACATATAATAATGATAATCCTTGCATTTGATATAGTGCTTTTCATGTCAGGAGGACGTCCCAAAGCGCTTCACAGAATATACTGTAAAGTGAATTGACTGGATATTTGAGCGAACGCGGCAGCCAATTGCGCACAGCAATGTCCCACAAACAGTCGTAGATTGAAAATGACCAATTTATTTTTGGTTTTGGAGGGATTATTATTAGGCTCTGTGTGGAGTAAGGAAACTTGCCTAAGGTTTCGCCCTCTGCCTGAAATTGAACTCGGGTCTCTCGCTTGCAAAGCGAGTGCTCTAACCACTGAGCTACAGGACTCCACAAATGAGCTTCCCTAGCAATACTAGCTCCAGAAATAACATTTTAGCACAGAGACTACACTTGATCTGGGTTTGGATACCTCACTCAACTGGCAGGTAAACTTTTGAGTGTGCAAGCGTCACTCCTCAAACCCAGTGCAGTTTTTTGGCAGGTCACTGGATAGTAATACAAGGCTTACAAGGCCTGATATCCCCAACCCAAAGTGCTTGGTAAAACAGTGTTGTACTGAAGAAGAAGAAGAAGAAGAAGAAGAAGAAATATAATGCATGCATGAGAGAGAAGGGAGGATTGCAGGCAAGGGAAAGGAAATCTGGAAGGGTGAAGACTCAATTGGAATATAACACTTGCATAGACTAGTTGGGCTGAATGATCTGTATTAGTGCTGTACAGTCAATGTCATTCTACATGACAGTTGATAGTGGTGGCATAACCAGAAAAGTTCTGCTAACCTTTCTCTTTGATGTAGATAACCACTCTGGCTGCTGCTGTCTCACTTGTGGGCTAATGTGCACTGTGAATTAATGTGCAATTCTGCAATTGTAATTTACTATAAGATTCATAGATTTCCTCAATTTAAATGAATTCTGAGAGGTTTTGAAAAGCAGTCAGCTATTGATTGCATGCAGCACCCTAGGGAAGTGAGAACAGCTGTATATCATTGCATCTGCAGTGACACAACTTGTTTTGCAGCACAGGGATCGTGTCACAATGTTCTACAAATACAGAATACAAGACTCGCTGGATACTTTTCCACAGAAATACAATACCTTTAGGTGTTGTGAATAATTGCTTGATGCACAACTTATTTCCACTTTTCGTGAGAATGCAACAAGGGGTTAAACCTACTCAATATTTGTCATTTGTAATCTTTCTATACTAACCATAGCAAATGCTTCACGGTAAAACTGAAACTTCTCTGGTTCGGAATCTGCAGGATCACCTTTATCTTCTATCTATCCATCTATACACTAATAAAACGACAATGGCTGTCTGTCTGCGCTTCAAGAAGGATCTCAATAACCGATTGACATAGAGACATGATTTATAGCAAGTTGGAAAGGTCTTGCACCTCAATCCCTCCACCTTATCCCCTCTCCCCTTTTTCAAACCCTGCCTGAAAATTTTCCTTTTCGACCAAGCTTGTGATCACTGCCCACCCCGGCTCGGAGTCAGGCTCCGCCACTGTTAAGCGCTCTGAGACTCTACCTTGCGTGGAGGGCGCCGTATAAGTGCAAGTTGTTGTTGCGCCACCGTTGTTGGGTCAGCTTTCAGACACTGTGTCCCAACTCTCTGGAACTCTTCCCCCAGAGTCTCCTTATTTTAGCGCAGGAAGCCTTGCCATCTCCCTACCCGCTTTCAACCAGCCCCTCTTAAGACCTACCTCCAACAGTGCTTTTGGCTACCTCCCTACACCTCCCCCCACCCCCACCTCCCCACTTCAGTCAGCTATGTGAAGTGCTTTGAGACATCCTTTTGAACCAAAAGAGCGGCTATATAAATGTCAATTGTTTCTAACTCTTTTCACAAGTATCATGTCATCTTGATCCTATCAAGGACAGAAAATTGAAATGATCCCAGAACAGGTGAGATTTGTGTTCAATTTGAGGCAGGAGTGGGCAAGCAGTGCATATCTTATTTCAGACTGAGTGTCAGTGCAATTTTACAGATCACAATGTGGTGGGTTTGAAGGAGAAATACTTTTTGTGTTACAACACGCTTTTCCCAATCGTACAAAAATGTGTTTAGCCATGAATTTTATCTCTTTCCAGACTGTATTCATCTGCTAACTTGCAGACGGCAAATGATATTGCCAGTCTCAAGTCCTACAGTGCAAAATATTCTTGAATGCTTCAAAACCAGGAAGTGCTTACAAGGGATATGCTTCAGGCATGGAACAAAATAAAATGACTAATATTGACAATAGACAGAAAATGTTTTGGAGACATGTTTGATGTAGAATACACCACAAATATTGGATTTATAGTAATATAATAATAATAATCATTGCATTTGATAAAGCGTCTTTTTAAAGTCTTCACAGGATTTTACTGTGAAATGCAGTGACTGTGTAGCTGTAGGTGAATGCCCTGAAGTAAAGCTGTGGCCTATTCATGCTCTACTCATGCCTTGGGTTGCATGAAGTGGCCCAATAGCAACAATGGATTTAATTTGGGCAATTTCACCAATTAATAATAATAATAATCCTTGCATTTGATTTAGCACTTTGCACGTCTTCTAGACGTCTCAAAGCGCTTCACAGAATAGACTGTAAAATGAATTGGGTGAAATGCGGCAGGCAATTGCGCACAGCAGTGTCCCACAAACAGTCGTGAATTGAAGTGACCAATTTATTATTGTTTTATCTTGAAGGATTATTATCAGGCGTGTGGAGTAAGCAAACTGGCCCAAGGTTTCACCCTGCCGGGAATCGAACATAGATCTCTCACTTGCAAAGCAAGTGCTCTAACCACGAGCAACAGGACTACAGGATTATCAAACAGTGATGTGGATTACTTTTTTCTCCTCTCCCAAGGGCTCATGATGAGCTGCAGTTCGATAAGTTCCAGTTGTCTTCCAATCCATCGACTAAGCGTTTATTCTTAATGTGTGAGCCAGCCGGGAGAATGACTGTCAAAAGGCTATTCAAAGTATTGAGACCAGTTACCCTTGATATTGTCTTCATGTGTGGGGTGAAATACACTGTTCAATAAAGTTATATTCACTTAGTGTGATTTCACCATTATAAACACGTTCACTCACTACAAGGTCAGTAACTTATTAACAATTGGAATTTCTCATCCCTGTTGTGCAAACATGTTAACTTCCTAGGAGATAAAAATAGATAGTGGTTAGAGGAGTATTACCCTTGGTTGATTTTGCTCCCATTCCTTCTCCAATGATGCCAATCATCATGTCTTACCTAGCACACAGCAGAGAATAAATCAGGGACCTTCCTGTTGTCCATGGCTTAATTTTACAGCGACCTTCCCAAATGATCTATTAGAACAGCGTAGGTTCAGTTCTCTGTGGCAATCAAGTGAGAGGAACGATGAGCTAGACATTCATCTGGTCCCCTAAATATATGTGGAGTCCTGCAGCTTAGTGGATAGTGCACTCGCCTTGCAAGCGAGAGGCCCCGGGTTTGATTCCCAACAGGGCAAAAATTTGGGCAAGTTTCATTACTCTGCACTCCTCTTGTTTACCTAGCAGTAAGCAGGATTTTAATCCTTGCCAGTTCAATGATGGAGTATGCTTTTCTGACAATGTCGGCAGACTTATTTGACTAAAGAAGGCAGGGGGAGAGAGGAGAGTTGAGGTCTGCGCCCAACTCTTGTTTGGGTGTATGTCTATTCTCCTCAGTGATGTTTGTACAGGTGTACTTTTCTCATCCTTTTTATATCCAAATTCACAGTCACTTCACAGTAAAAATCATATGAAGTGCTTTGGGACATTTTGGTGACATGATAAAATGCTGTATCAAATAGAAGATTTATTGTTGATATCTTTATTATAACGATGTGAAAAGTCGATTGGCAGATTGCTTTTCCGGAGGTAATAATCCCATCCAAACAAAATTATAAAAATACTAATTTGGTCACTGAATCTACAACTGTTTGTGGGACACTGCTGTGTACAATTGGCTGCCGCATTTCGCCCACAAAATATACAGTCAATTCACTTTACAACAATAACAAAATAAAATTTTTATAGTGTTTTTCATATCGAGAGGATTTCCCAAGGCGTTGGACAGTCAGTGTTTTGGATCCGAGTTGGGGGGATTGGGGAGGAAGGCAGTGAAGCTAGGAGATCAAAAGCACAGTTAAAGAGGAGGGTCTTGACATGGGTCTTGAAGGAGGTAAGGGAGGGGACGAGGCGGAGGGACTGCGGGATGGAGTTCCAGAGGGTGTGGGCAGTTTGGCAGAAGGCCCGCCTACCAACGGCGTGTCGGGTGAGGCGGGGGACCTGGAGCCCGCTGAGCGGAGAGAGTGGGCAGGATGGTAGGGGATTAGGGGGTTGCA